ACTGATTGTAAGATGGAGAAGCATTATCGAAAAGAATGGAGACTATTTCATTTAATGAATGTTTTGTTTGATATACAAGTTGTTCGGGTTTTTTCATCTAAAAAAACGACATTAATTTCTTGACGATCTAATATAATGCCTCCATTTCTTCTGCAAACTATAAAACATAATTTAGAAACTGATGTTCTGAAACTAGGAAAAGGATCTACAATATCGTTAATACAAAATTAAACTACAGCTTCGAAGCAGCTAGACTAATACAAGTTAATATTAGTGACACTTATATCAAAGGTAATCCCTACACAATATTAAAGGCCAATATGTTGCTTTTCTATAAACGTAAATAAAAACACGATCTATATCTCCAGAATGTAACTTTATTAGCTCAATATTTCGTTATTACAGCTTCGTCAAGAGCTATCGATATCCTATAAGATCACTAATTCAGTTAAATTTAAGTGGATAATACTGTAATAGCAAAATATTGAGCTAATAAAGTTACATTCTGAAGTTATAGGTCGTGATTTTATTTACGTTTATAGAAATATCTCATAATAAACTCCAGTTTGCGTTAAACAGAGTTAAGAATAATAATATGTTGCTTTGATTTGTAGCTTTGGTTAACTGTCGATGACATTTTTATATAGCTCTTTCTCCAACAAATTCAAGTACAAAGGAAGAAATAATCCGATGGATACTGATCAATTTTATACTATGAGCACGTTCATGTTAAACAATACTCACATCTGGCCATTCGAAATACGACATTTTGTCCTGAAGTTTCTGATAATCGAAATAGTTAACTCCATGCCACAGCCCCATTGCACCCGCAGCGACGAGAGCTGAAAGTAAGACATTGCTATTTTACAAGTAGAAAAATTTCAAGTTTATTATATTGCTATTTTTTACCGTTTATACTGTATGTTTAGAAGTTAGAATTAATGGCCAGATCGTTGTTGACATCTAGTACTTAACTGGTGGGTTAAGTATTACACAAGTGTTTCTTTAAAAAAAAAAAAAAGCGGATTTAACTCTCAAATACCGATTTGTTTACATATTGAATGATTTTGTTTTAGGCTCTAGCAGTAATTAATGTAATTAGCTGCAATATTGACGATATTTTTGTTACATTTTATTTTGTGACTCTTGGATCATTAGCGTTTGTTTTTTAATTTTTGTGTGTGACTCGTAGATCCTATAATTAGTGACGCCATGGATCCGCAAGCAATTTTGAGCACAAATTGTTCATAAAAATTCAATGAGATCCACATGACTTCATTGGTAATTCTAGGGTTAAACACTAAATGATAAGTTGGTATTGTTTCTTACAGATACTTCCTTCCTCCTTTTTATTGTTTTGAGACGAAGTACTCAACATAGAACCCAAAATGTTATACGTAGAAGATGTCTATAAGAAACAACGTCAACAACTTGCATGTTCCTAGAAAATTCTGGAAAAGCATATTTGGACTCTTAAAATCAATAATGATTTCGATTGTAATTTTTGAATATTTGAAATTAAAATTTATCTCGACAAATTTAATATCAGTGCACAAGCCAGGAAAACGCTATTAAACCCTGCTACCATATGTTGTTTTGAAACTGATACCTTACTTGACGATGTTATCGTCCTAATAAGATTTTCCTGCAGCAGATGGAGGGGGGGATAAGGTGTGGAGGTAATCAT